GCTAGAAGGGAAGCAGAGCAGCCGGGATATGAACTGGCGTGTACAAAGCAAGGATTTTAGCCACTAGGCTATGGTACCAGATCCCAAATCAACAACTCTTAGTAAACTTCCAAGGAAGAGAAGTACTGTCTTTCTTCTTCATTTCACATAATAGTTGCATTCCTGGAAAAAAAAAATTATAACTGAAACAGTGCCACAACGTTTTTGTTTTTGTTTTTAGTAGTACGGCAGATTTATATACAGAAAGGTCTTCCATCTTCTGGTTCACTTCCTACATGGCCGCAACAGTCGGAACTGAGATGATCCAAAGTCAGGTGCTTCTTCCAGGCTTACCACACAGTGCAGGGTCTTAACATTTTGAATCATCCTCTGCTGCTTTCCCAGCAGGGAGCTGGTTGGGATGTGGAATAGCCAGGACAGGAACTGGCAACCATAAGCGATACTAGCACTTGCAGATGGAGGACTTGTCAATTGAACCATCATGCTGGCCCCACAAAATATTTTCTTGAGCTAGAAAACCCAGTCAGGTTCTCAGGTTCTCATCTGAGCTCATTACAAATAGCTGTGGCCTGAGAACCACTTTATTTAATTACTTACTTATTTTTATTGAAAAATTAGATATACAGAGAGGAGAGTCAGACAGGAAGAACTTCTGTTTGCTGATTCACTCCCCAAATGGCTGCAATGGTCCGAGCTGCGCCAAACCGAAGCCTACAGCCAGGAGCCCAGAGCCTCTTCTGAATCTCCCATGTAAGTGCAGGGTTCCACATCTTTGGGCTGTCCTTGACTGCTTTCCCAGGCCACAAGCAGGGAACTGGATAGAAAGCAGGGTCGCTGAGATTAGAACTGGGGCTAATATGGGATCCTGGTGCCTACGAGGTGAGAAATTTAGCTGCTAGGCTACTGTGCTGGGCCCCTGAAAGCTACTTTTAAAGGTAAAGGACAGTCTCCTTACATTGGTGACATCCACATTCTGAGGCCCACAATGCCCTTCCCCCAAATCCTATTGTAACCAGCACACCCCTAGAGGCATGCTATACCCTTAGGGGGAGCCCTGGTCCAGCACTGCTGACGTCTTGGTGCATGCTGGGATTGAAGGGGTCAGGGACCCAGTGGTGGGGTCAGGTGCAGAGCCATGAGGATTTCCTGTCACAGAAAGGTGCAGACTCAGCAAATGGAGCCTGTTCCTCCAAGGTGCATGTTGGCCTGATAGGTCATGAGTTGCACTTTTAGTAGCACCACGTGTCAGAGGTCAGGCAGGAGGCAGCTGGACAACAAGCACACATGAAGTGCTATCTAAGTGGGCAGGAAATGAAGGCTACTCCTCCAATATAATACCTTTTGTAATCAGATGGGGGAAGGCCTTGAACAGCACCTGCCAGTTAGAGTTGGGACTGGGGGCCAGCTGGGCCAGGCCAGGCCAGGCTGCAGCATCCAAAGACAAAGGCCAGGACGGGGGGGGGGGAGGGGCTATGCCAAGTTGGGTCAGAGCAACCACTGGCACGTGCGAGATCTATGGCTGGGATCAGGCCTGGTTGGGGGAGCCAAGGGGATGCCCTGGCTGGATTGTGGGTCCCCCTGGTGAGCACAGGAGCTGGAGTGGGAGGTGCAGTCTGATCTGAATATGGACACAGTCTCCCTTGGCATAGGTGTGGACTGGGTCTGGGGTGTGCAAGACTCAGCTAGACTCCAGCACCCACTGGGACTTGTGAGAACCAGGATGAGTGTAGAATGGACTGGGCTAGGTCTCTGTCTCTTTTGAGCCATGTGTGAGCTGTGTCTGGGTGTGAACCAGGCTTGGCTGGGCTATAGCAATCAACAGTAAGAACCCGCTAGGACAAGTGGTAGACTATATAGGGCTGACCCACAAACCCAATAGTGTGCATGAGATCTGGTATTAGGAGAGGTTCTGAGTAGCTTGGCAACTTCTCTGTCCCTGCAGGTGAGTATAACAACCACGAAAGGGAGCAGTTCAGAGAAGGCCAGGTTAGGTACCCATGAGCTTACCTTTGGCTCAGGTCTGGGGTAACCCAGCCTGGGCCAGTTCATATCACCCACTGGAAAATCTGAGAGCTAGAATGGTGTGTGGGTCATGTCAGGTATTGGTATTGTGATACCAGCCAGTTCACATTAGAGCTGGGACAGGGGGCTAGCTGGGCTGGCTAGGCTGTAGTCCCCACCAGTGTGAGCTGGAACTAAGGCCGGGCTGGGCCGGGCCAGGCTATAGCACCCACTGGCAAATGCCAAGGTGAGGTGGGATATATCAGACTGAGCTGCAGCACCCAACCAGCACCTGTGAGACCTGGAGGAGAGTGGTCTAACCCATTTGGGGGGCTGCAAGGAACTTCCCTGCTGGGCCATTATTCCCACTGGTGAGCGTGAGATCTGGGATTGGGGACAGACCAGGCCAGGAAGGGCTACAACACCTGTTGGCCTCCATGTAAGCTGGATCAAGGACAAGCCAGGCTGGAGGACTGTACCTACTGGAACATGCATAAGCCAGAGGGGGTGAGGGTTGGTTGGGCTTTGCTGCAGCATCAACTAGCAGATGCTGGCACAGGGGGAAACTGTTGAGCTAAACTGCAGTATCATCTGGAGAGTGCTAGATTCTGGAGTGGGAGTGGGTCCAGTAAGCAAACAGTGGGCACATCCCTCTTGGATTGCCACTCTGACTGGTGAGAATGAGAACCAGGACTGGGACAGGCATAGCTAGACAGAGTGGCACCCACCAGCACATGTGTGGGCTAGATATTGAGGCTGGTTGAGTAAAAACTAGGCTTCAATGGGGCCCAGCGTCATGGCCTAGTGGCTAAAGTCCTTGCTTTGCATGTGCCAGGATCCCATATGGGTGCCGGTTCATATCCTGGCAGCTCCACTTCCCATCCAGCTACCTGCTTGTGGCCTGGGAAAGCAGTTGAGGACAGCCCCAAGCTTCGGGACCCTGCACCTGTGTGGGAGACCCGGAAGAGGTTCCTGGTTCCTGGTTTCGGATCAGCACAGTACTGGCCATTGTGCTCACTTGGGGAGTGAATCACTGCATGGAAGATCTTCCTCTCTGTCTCTCCTCCTCTCTGTATATCTGACTTTTTAATAAAAATAAATAAATCTTTTTTTTTTAAGATTTTATTTAGTTGGAGGCAAACTCCACCCTTCTCTGGTTATCGTGGTAGCCATCACATAGAAGACAAGGGCTGGAGACATCTGACCCAGTAATTGCAACTAACAGTGTGTGCAAAGGCCGATTTGGGCGACGGACTGTGCTGGACCCTGTATTGGCAGGCACACGCAAGAATCAGGACTGGGATCACCGCAGATGAAATTTCTTTAGGAATCTCCAACTGAACTGCTGAACTCAGAATTCCAACCATAGAGAAACTGCAGGTTCCATGGTCTGACTGTGGAATGCATGTGTCAGAACTGGTCCTCCTCAGTGGTGTAGATAAAACAGTGGACAGCATATCTAGAAGCACATGGAGGACGTGGCAGTACACTGGAGCCTGCAGAGGACACCTGGTACCACAACAGACAGAGGACAGAACAAATCGATCAACCACCCCAGCAAGAGTTGGCAGTGAATACCTGGGCAAAAGGAGTCTCTAAGGTGGACAATAGCAGCCAGTGGAGCCTGGAGAGATTTCATCGTGACTGGAGTGGCAAGATCAGCAGCAATACAGAACTGCTGAACCATCAAAACCAGGATCCTCGGAGCATGCCCCACATCAAGGACCCTGGGTTAGGAGGCTGGGTGTGGCTTCTCCCTTTATCTGTGGGTCCACTGCTCCAGCCTCACCCTTTCCCTACTCATCACCCACAACACAGCCATAGTCTCACCTTGGATTTAGGCATCTGCCAGCCCCAACCCTTCCCTCTGCTGCCCACCTTGCTTTCATCTATTCCCCTTGAACTCAAGAACTACCTCCTCACCACCAGGAAGCCAACCCTATTCCAAGTTAGCCAAGGAGCAGAATCTTTTTTGGATAAACCTCAGGATAATTGAACTATGGATGACAGAATTTCCTATGTAGGCAATTCAGCTCATGGCAGGTGTTGTGGCACAGCAGGGCAAGCTGCCATTGAGAACACTAATATCCCACATCAGGGTGCCACTCTTAGCACTCTGCACCTCTGTTCCAGGTCCCTGCTAATGGGAAGCAGGAGACCTGTCACCCACACGGGATATCCAGATGAAGTTCCTGCTTCCGGCTCACCCTGACCCAGTCCCAGCTGCTCTAGTCACTTAGGGGCGGGGGAAGAGATAAAACCAGCAGATGGGAGAGCTGCCTCTCTAGTTTATAATAATTTCAGCCATTTTGCTAGGAAAATGAAGAATTCTGAAACATGACCCATATTCAAATGAGGGAGCCAATACTATCATCACATAAAACACACACACACACACATTGAACAGCCCTTTTAGGGGAAAATGTCCAGGAATCACTTCAACATAATCCAAGAGAGGGAGAACAGCTGGTGTCTAACAAAACTGCACCATCCAGGAGAATGGAAGATGCATGACAGACATGGGCTGGCAGGGATTTACATTGTTCTTATTACTGACAGAAAATACCAAAGGTGTAGTTTCCCTAAGGTGCTTCCGCTCTGCTGCCTTGTCACCCACCCTTTACCCCTAGCATGATGGAAAGCATCTCTGGGCCCTGAAGCCCTGTGACCTTGGTATATAGCAACAGCTAAGCAACGCCAACTTCACAAGCAGGTGAGGCTTCCAGGGCTGGTGGCTGCAAGCCAGCATCTCCCAAGAATGTATTTATAACCTAAGCTGGCAGTCACTTAGGACTGAACACTGTGGTGTATCCTCCTCTGAGGAAAGCACAGTTTCGACGTGATGCACACACTAGGCGACTGGCCTGGGGGCAGCCATGGGCCTGGAGAATAGACTATTTCCCGACCTCCTCACCCCAACCGCATTCTCAGAGACCACACACATGAAAGTGAGACTTCTGGGAACAACTTTAATAAGGCTGGTGCTAACTCTTGCAGCATCAAAGGTCAAACAGGAAGGGCATCATATCTGCAAGAAAGGGAGAGAGTTCAGAGGACTCAGATCTGCACCTGCTGCTTTCCAAGTCTGCAATGTTCTCACAGGCCATCTACGTCTCCTGGCTCGAATGCTACTCAATTACTGAGTTGTTCCAGATGACAGGCCCTTCTACAAATGACCCAGGAGTGTGCCTCTCACTTGGTATGCTGGCCCTGTTCCTGTGTGGAGTCGGGCTGGAAGCAGAGATCACCAGAGGGTGTCAGACTGTCTCTGCCCTCCCCGCTGCTTACACAAGGTGCCCCAAGGCTGGCATGCTCCAGCTCTCAGCTGGAAGGTGGCAGGCCCCTCCCCAGGGCCCACTGCTCACACTGAAGCCTCACACCTGGCTGGCTCATGCACTGCTGGATACTTTCCAGCTGGGTGGAAGCCAAGGCGCGGGCCTCCTCCGCAAAGCGGCGGCGTCCCTCCTCGGTCAACTTCCAGAGGCAGGAGCGGGGCCGGGAGCTGGCCCCGACCTGCATACTGACCGGCACTTTCTCAAAGTTTTCTCGGAAACAGAGATTGTGGCGAATCGTATTCTTCCAGCCTTCCGGAGCCGTCCGGAAAAACGGAAAGTGTTGTCTGTAGACAGGAGAAAGGTCAGGGGGTGGGGTTTCCATGTGTGTATGTGTGTGTGAGGGGGTCTGCTCTCCACTGCCTGGGAGCATGACTATACTTCTTTCTACCTGCACCAGTTATGTGAGACCCCCTCCTCCTGCCAGCCCAGCTCGCCACCCCCTTCTCAAGCTCTCTCTCCTCCCACCCACCAAGGGCTGAGGACCATGCCTGCAATATGAACAAGCAGCTGCAGGTTCCCCGTCAGGGAGCACTGCCCTCCTGCCACACTGCCCTCCTGCCACCCCAAAGTCCTATCCTGAGAAAACAGGCCCTCCTCTGACTGCCAGGAAAAGGCCTGCAATACCCACTAGGGATCTCATGTGCATGGCCGGAAAAGCTCAAGCTAACTGCTTTCTTAATGGAGCATCCTGGTCCTGGGTGAGCCCAGGAGCCCCTGCCCAGCAGAAGCAGGTGGGATACTGTCAGGGAAAGCAGATCTTAGGCCAGAGTTGGGGAGAGACTGTCCCGGGGCCCAGCTGGATCTGTTTGCAAGGGGAAGACAGACCAGAAGGCGGCATGTGGAGGGTACTGGAGTGAACATGTACATGCAGGTGGACACACATGGGGACTCTCAGATCCAGAGGGGAAAACTGAGTCAGCCACCCAGGGCCTGGAGCAGGGCAGTGGCCCCTCCCCGCCCTCCTCACAGGGCCCCCTGGCACATACCGAGTAAAATTGTAGATCTGCTGCACGTTGAGACCTCGGGGGGCACTGTTTCTTAAGGCCAGGGCAACTAGGTGGAAGTAATTGAGAGGGGGCCGAGACCAGCGCCTGCCCTCCTGGGTGTTGGCTTGCTGAAGCCTCCAACTCTGGAGGGGGGCCCTTTTGTGAGGGGACGGGAGAGCCACAGAGGAGCTGTCATCCTGGTCCTCAGCCTCCTCCTCCTCCTCCTCTTCTGTGAGCTACAGGAGCACAGAGGAGGAACTGGTCCTGACTCCTTGGCTAAACTCGGAGGGGTGCTGGCCAGAAGGGGCAGTGGCACAGAGACCAACAGCAGGGCTTCTCCCCAACCCAAGGGCAGCCTGAACCCACTTATCTCTCACTGTCCCTGCCCGCCCTAGCTATGTCCCACATCCGGCCTTCCCATGCCATCAGAACTCTATACCTCCCAGCTGCTAGGAGATGAAGAGGTAAAGTGCTTCTGTGACGGAGACTGCTCCGTGGAGGAAGGCGAAAGTGCATCCACCCCTATGGCCTCCGGGCAGTGGGCATCTTCCTCATTGCAGGATTCCTCAGTGCAAGGGTTTGAGTCTGCCACATCCTCTTTCTCGTTCACTCTTTGTGCTTCCAGCTTTCCCGGAGGATACACAACATTAGGGTTGACCCACATCCACAGGTTAGGCTCAATTTCAGGTCCTACAGAGTACAGAGGAGTTGGTGTACCACAGCCCATGGGCTTGAGGCATTCCCAGCAGCCACCAAGCCATGGCAATAGAGCCAACTACTCACCATCTGCATCAGTTTGGGGCTTTTTCGCCAGAGGTGGCTTTGGTGGTTCCACTATCCGAAGTCTGTACCTGGCCACTGGCAAGAGCAAAGTACTCAGGGTCAATATTTGGCAGCATTTCACTGTGTGACCCTGGAGTCTTTCTCCACCGTCCTATCCTGGGAGTTGTGATACAACAGTCTCCTGATTTTTGCTTTCCTGATTCTCCTGCTCTTTCCTTTATTCCACATATGCCACCCCTGAACCAATCTCATGTGAGTCTATCACTCCTATTACCAGGATTGTCACTTCTAGCCCTTAAGAAGAACTGTCTTATGGAGATCAGTGGTCCCTACTTGGGTCATCAATGGTATTTCTACATTTCTAGAACTGAACTCTGCCTTCTTGCTCTTCTTCCCATCATATTCCTGTCTCAGCAAAGGGCAACATCCCAACTAGCTGTTATGTTCCATGTTAGAGAGGAAACAGGCTTTTGCTTGGGAGTGACAATATACTCATTGAAAGCTCAGTAAGTAGTCAGTAGATGTCCTTGATGCTGTTCACATTCAACACAGACTCCAAAAAAGGGAAATGTAGCAAGAAACAGAACACTGGGGGAAAAGATCATTTACAGGGGAAAAAAAAGTGATTAACATAGGAAACCATGCAAAAGCAACACCCAGGGGTCCTTGACCTAGCCACTAAAATGCCCATAGCCCACATCAGAGAGTCTGGGTTCCACTGCTGGCTCCAGCTGCCTGCTAACACAGACTCTGGGGGCAGAGGTGATGACAGTCAACTAGAATCCTGCCTACCCTTGTGGGACATCTGGATTGTATCCCCAGTTCTGGGCTCTGGCTTCTGCCCCCTGGCTATTGTGGGCATCCAGTGAGTGAAGCAATGGATGGAAGCTTAAATCCTTCTGTCTTTCAAATAAATAATGCATACTACTAAAACAAATAAAGAACAAGTTTGCTATAGATAATGACATAATAATCAGCACTGTCCTTCTATACTAGTGTTAAAACTAAGTTATCTATACTAGGAAAAGGTACTACACATCTAGCACTCTCCCGATGTCTGGGAAGGTAGCAGAAGATGGCCCAAGTGCTTGGGTCCCTGCAACCCACACAACAGACCTGGGTAAAATTCCTGCTTTCAGCCTAGCTAAGTCCCAGGCTGTTGCAGATGATTGGGGAAGGAACCACCAGATGGAAAAAAAATCTCTTAGGATAAATTAAGATCAACTTCAGTTCCTTTTTAAAAAATGATCACTTGAAAAAAATTTTGATTATTTGAAAGGCAGAGTGACAGAGAGGGATAGATCCCAGGTACTCTGATATGAGGTGTTAGCATTTCTTCCTTAAGATTTATTTTTATTGGAAAGTCAGATTTACAGAAAGAGACAAAAAGAGAAAGACTGTCCATCTGTTGGTTCACTCTAAATGGCCACAACAGCCAAAACTAAGTAGATCCAAAGTCAGGAGCCAGGAGCTTCTTCTGGGTCTCCCACATGGGTGCAGGGTCCTAAGGCCTTGGGCCATCTTCCACTGCTTTCCCAGGCCACAAGCAGGAGCTGGATGGGAAATGGAGCAGCCACGGCACAAACTGGTACCCATATGGGATGTTGGTGCATGCAAGGCAAGGATTTAGCCACTGAGCCATCCTGCCAGACCCTAAAGTGTTAGCATTTCAAGTGGCAGTCCAAACACAATGTCAGCCCATAAATTAACCTTAAGGTTTAAATTTAAATTTATACATATACATAATTTTTTTAAAAAATCACCAGAATCTAAGGAGGGAAAAGACAATAAACTGGGCCCAGCACAGTAGCCTAGTGGCTAAAATCCTTGCCTTGCACCTGTCGGTTCGCATCCCGGCAGTCCTGCTTTCCATCCAGTTTCCTGCTTGTGCCTGGGAGAGCAGTTGAGGGCGGCCCAAAGCCTCGGTACCCTGCACCTGCATGGGAGACCCAGAAGATGCTCTGGGCTCTTGGCTTCAGATTGGCTCAGCTCTGGCTGTTACAGCTACTTAGGGAGTGAACCAGCAGATGGAAGATCTTCCTCTCTGTCTCCCCTCCTCTCTGTATATCTTATTACTTTCCAATAAAAATAAATCTTAAAAAAAAAAAACGCAGTAAACTAAGAAAGTTTTCTAACACAGTTTTTACAAATCATTTTGTAAAAAACTTCCAAATGAGAAATAAAACCAAACAGCATTCCTGAGGAGGTGGTACCTGGATGGTTAGCAATCTGCTCATTATGAGTTATTAAACAACACTTCACAATTAACGAGAATCGTGAAGATGAGATGCCAAGTATTTGCAAAGATGCAGGAACTCAAACCCCGAGAGCATCAGCTGCCCAGCCTGGCGCAGAGCAGATGGGCAGAACCTTCCCAGGTAGCATTAGCAGCCAGTTGGATTGGAAGTAGAGCAGCTGGGACTTGAATCCGTGTTCCAATGTAGGATTGCTGGTGTCATGAGCAGTGCCTTAACCCACTGTGGTGACACACCTGGCCGGTGTGCTTCCATTTTGATTTTATCCAAAGAGCTGCCCTCACCAGGGAGGTCACTGACTTCTACTCTTTCCCCTCCTTGCAAACTTTCTTTACTGGGTTTCCAGGACACCAGACCCTCAGTTTTGGTTATCACTGGTCTTTCCACCTTATCTCTCCTCTCCTCCCTCTAATCTTTTTATAATGCCCTGGGCCCTCCCATTCTCACTCCTCAAACCCCACCCTTGTTCCAAAGGCTCCAAATTTACATCTGCAGTTTCACCTCTTCCCAGAAGACACCCACCTGGTGACACTTCCACCTGCATGCTTAAGAACCATCTCCACTACAGAGCCTCCCAAACCCACCACAAGCTACCAAATCACAGCACAAGGCAATTCGATCCTTCCACTTCTTACACCAGGAGCTTCAGACAGCCATCCTCCAAGATCTCTTTTCTCTACACCACACAGACAATGCAGCTACCTGTACCTTCTCACCTCCTCTGCTACCACCCAGGCCTGCTATCACTGTGTCTTGTCTAAAAGACTGGCAGTGTCCTAACTAGTGTCCGGCCTAAGCTCTGCTCACCACCCAGATCACATGAAATCAGGACTGTAGCTTGTATGGCCCAGTGCAAAGTGAAAACCTGGGGCTCCTGATTTAAAAATTAGTCATTCCAAGACACAGCATTCCCCACGACTCATTGTCACATACTATAGCGTGGTGTGCTGCATGTATGATCTCTCTACCCAAGTAGCCCACAAGTGACCCTTCAGTTGTCCATCACAACGCCTGGCCCACAGATTTTCGAACAAGTGAACACACAGGATTAATGAACATAGCTAACATTAATGAACATAGCTAACAACTGCGAGGCACAATTAAATTGTAAAAGGCAACAGATGTGGAGGAAAGAACACTGGAGTCAGAAATGCTAACCCTGCCCCACAGATAGCTACACAAAATTGGGCAAGGAACCGTGTCAACAGATCCGGTTCTAACATGGGGGTTGGGGAGGAAGGGGAAAATTTAAGCGTGGGGGGGAGTGGGTAGGGAGAAGAGACCACCCCGCGGGCTTTACAGGACCTGTGGGGAAAATAGGCACCAGGAATTGTGGGGTAATTACCTCACCTTTCTACCTCAGACCCAAAGAGGAAGAAGAAACAAAGCAATGTCAATTGCTCACTAAGCCAGCACCCAGCTTTCTAAAAATAAACAAAACGCATCATTTCTTGAAAACTACTAGGGAGAGCCCATGGCGTTCCAAAAGGTGCCCAGCGACAGAGCAAGAAGTAAAAGAAGCTTGGCAGAGGCCTAGAAGGTTCTGACAGCTACCACAGAAAAGAAGGTGGCTCCGGAGCAGACCTGAGGAGACTCGCTGCCCTCAGGGGGCTTCCAGTGGAAGCGGCTGGGGGGAAGGGCGTGACAGCGGCCCCAGGGGCTGGAGGCCCCCCAATTCCCTCCTACCCCCCCCCACACACACAGCCTCCCCAGAAGTTCCCCCTCGCAGGGGCCTGGAGCGGGCCCAGCAGCGACCCCCACCCGGCCGCCCGCCCATCCCCCACAGCCGGCCCTGGAGATCCAGATCCGGCGGCACTTACGGTTCTGCTCCGCCGTCCACAAGTGCGATGTGGTGCTGGCCAGAAAGACTTCGTTGCCCATGTCCCAGTCGAGCAACCCGGGGACCTGGCCATGAAGGCTGTCCCAGAAGTCGAGATCTTGGAGTTTGAGGTCCACTTTTAGCTTGAGGGGAGCGACGACCCGCGCCAGGAGACCGCCGGGACTGACTGAGGCCCTGGCCTCGCAAGCAACTTCCTCAGGTGGGAGACTGCGCAGGTGTGCGGAACCGGGCCTGTTCTTCGACGCCTCGACCCGGCTGCCTGCTGTCGAACTGGAGGGTGCGGGCAACCTCCGAGGTTCTGAAAGGGACCTGCGTGCCCCACCAAGGCTGCCCCCTGTGTTTTGCACAAAGTTACTTTCTCTAAAAGGCACAGCGACTGCTGCCTCGTCCCTATTTCTAGCGTCTTTCTAGAAGTTCTGATGGGATTTAAGGTGTGTCTGATAAAGTACATCAGTAGTATGTGATGGAAATAGGATAGTTAAGGGTGATTTGTGTTTTGTGAATTTTGCTTTTAGTAATTTTAAACTTCAAAAAACAAAGTTTAAGTTATAAATTTAAATTTCTTGAAAAATTCCTGTGGGGGTAAAACACTCCAGCTTACCCTTTTACTCAGATTCACCAATTAAGCCAATGGACATTTTATTGTTTTTATAATTTCGAAAGATTTATTTATTTGGAAAGGCAAATATACAGAGAAAAGGTGAGACAGAAAAAGATCGTCCATCCACTGGTTCACTCCCCAAGTGGCTGCAATGGCCGGAGTTGACCCCAGAGAACTATATATTTTTTGAAAAATATATTTATTTTTATTAGAAATGTAGATATACAGAGAAACAGAGAGACAGAAATATCTTCCATCTGCTGGTTTACTCCTCAAGCGACCACAATAGCTGGAACTGAGCAGATCCAAAGCCAAGAGCCAGGAGCTTCTTCCAGGTCTCACACGTGGGTGCTGGGTCCCAAAGCTTTGGGCCGTCCTAAACTGCTTTCCCAGGCCACAAGCAGGGAGCTGGATGGGAGTGGAGCAGCCAAGATATGAACCGGTTTATATGGGATCCTGGTGTGTGCAAGGAGAAGACTTATTTTCTAAGAATGGTCCTCAGTTCAGGTTTGACTGGCATCTCCCCATAATTAGAGTTGTTGTGCATTTTTACCATGAATACCAAAGAAAGATGGTTTTTGCTCAGTGTATGGCGTCGGGGGCCACAGGATATACGGCACCTCATTATTAATGGTGGTAACACCAGTCACAGGGTTAGTGGTAACTGTCAGTCATCCAATTATAAAAATGGCTTCCCTCCTTTTATAATCAGCGAGCAATTTGAGGAGAGATCCTTGGAAATCATCCACACTCTTGTTCCTCAGGTTTGGACCCAGTGAACTCCATTTTATAATTCTTGCCTAAATCAGTCATCATTGTGGTAGTTGTAAAATGATGCTTTTTAAAAATAAACTTATTTCTTCTAGTCCAGTGATTAAGTTGGTGATCTATGGTGTCAAAATTTCATCAGAAGACATTAACTTGACGGAGGTCCCCATGCTGAGCTCAACAGATAAAACCAATATGGAGTTTAGTCACAGTAACTGGACTTTAGTTAATTATAGGAAGCTCTGCAACCAATTAACCAATTAAGCTGCAACCAATTAAGTTGTCTGAGCAGCTCACTTGGTTTCCTATAAATGCTGTCAGATCCTGTGGGTGGGAGTTCAGAACCTACTCTAGCCCTGGAAGCTGATGGAATCAGATTGTTTGCTTCTGCTCAAGCAAAAATCTACTAAATTTATTTTTAAAAAATCTTTTGTTTTTAATTTCTTATTTTAAAAAAAGATTTATTTATTTTATTGCAAAGTCAGATATATATAGAGGAGGAGAGACAGAGAGGAAGATCTTCCATCCGATGATTCACTCTCCAAGTAACTGCAACGGCTGGTGCTGCGCCGATCCAAAGCCAGGAGCCAGGAACCTCTTCCGGGTCTCCCACGCAGGTGCAGGGTCCCAAAGCTTTGGACCGTCCTCGACTGCTTTCCCAGGTCACAGGCAGGGAGCTGGATGGGAAGTGGGGCTGCCGGGATTAGAACTGGCACCCATATGGGATCCTGGCACATGCAAGGCAAGGACTTTAGCCACTAGGCCATGCTGCTGGGTCCCCTCAATAAATATTTGTTAAATAAAGGAATAAGTAAATGAACGCTCAAGTCCCTAAAGAGGAGGAGGGAGTAGGGAAAATGCTAAATGGAATCAGAAAGATTCACAGGGGTGGGTTTTAGCTTAGCAGTTGAGATGCCACTTGGGAAACCCACTTCCCATGTTGGAGTCCCTGGAGTCAAGTTCCAGTTTTGTTCCAGTCCACCCTCCTGATGAAGCAATCTCGGAGAGGCAATAGGTGACAGCTCGAGCACCTGCACCCCTGTCACCCACATGGGAGACCTCAGTTGAGTTCCAGGCTCCTGGCTTTGGACTAGCCCAGTTCTGGATGATTGTAGGTATTTGGAAAATGAATGAGCAGACAGGAGTAAAAATAAATAAATCTTAAAAAATAAATAAATCTTAAAATAAATAAATCTTTCCAGTAAAAATAAATAAATCTTAAAATATATATATTTATTGAATGTCTAATTTGTAGAGCCTAGTTTCTACAAGCTTCTAGGAACAAAACAGTTGCTTTCTGTAGAAGGACAATTGATAGGAGGATATCATTTGTATGTGAAAAATTCAGTGGATATGATTTGAATGAGGACACTTGATTGGATATGCAAAACTAAAAGAGATCCTTTCAGTCAAAGGCTCTGTGGATAGGTTTATAGGAACTATGTAAGCTTCTCAATACCTCCTCAGTCTTCCTCTGTGACCCTCAGTCTATAAAAGCCTGATGTTACAAATAAACTTCAGCTATTGACCGTCAGTCAGTAGTCCACAAGTGTTATCAACTCTGTGCACCAAGTCCATCACTGTCAGGCAGTGAACACTTTCAGGAAACCTACGGTCTGATGGGAGATGCAATCTAGTCCTCCCACAAACCCATCCTTTAAAAAATTTTTATTTATTTTTATTGGAAAGGCAGATATAGAGAAAGAAGGAGATACAGAGGAAGATCTGGGCCCGGCACGATAGGGTAACAGTTAAAGTCCTTGACTTGGGCCTGGCATGATAGCATGGCAGTTAAAGTCCTTATCTTGAACGCACTGGGATCCCATATGGGCACCAGTTCTAATCCCGGCAATCCAGTTTTCCATTCAGCTCCTTGCTTGTATACTGGGAAAGCAGTCGAGGATGGCCCAAAGCCTTGGGACTCTGCACCCGCATGGGAGACCTGGAAGAGCCTCCTGGCTTCAAACTGGTTCAGCTCCAGCCATTGAGGCCACTTGGGGAGTGAACCATCAAACGGAAGATCTTCCTCTGTTTCTTCTCTTTGTATATCTGCCTTTCCAATCAAAATAAATAAATTTAAAAAAAAGTCCTCACCTTGCACATGACGGGATCCCATATGGGCGCCAGTTCTAATTCTGGCGGTCCCAGCTCCCTGCCTGTGGACTGGGAAAACAGTTGAGTATGGCCCAAAGCTTTGGGACCCTAGGTAGGAGATCTGGAAGAAGCTCGGGGCTCCTGGTTTCAGATTGGCTCAGCTTGGGCCAGTGCAGCAGCTTGGAAAGTGAACCGGAAGATCTTCCTCTCTGTCTCTCCTCCCTCTCTCTCTTCATATATATATATATATATATATATAAATAAAAATAAATCTTCAAAAGTTTTTAGCTTTTTTCTTCCCCTTTGTTTTGTTGTTATTGTTGTTTTGTTTTGTTTTAAAGCTACTCACCGGGCCTGGCGCGGTGGCGCAGTGGTTAAGGTCCTCTCCTTGCACGCCCGGGATCCCATATGGGCACTGGTTCTAATCCCAGCGGCCCCTCTTCCCATCCAGCTCCCTGCCTGTGGCCTGGGAAAGCAGTGGAGGACGGCCCAAAGCTTTGGGACCCTGCACCCGTGTGGGAGACCCGGAAGAGGCTCCTGGCTTCGGATCGGCATAGCATCGACCGTTGCGCTCACTTGGGGAGTGAATCATCGGACGGAAGATCTTCCTCTCTGTCTCTCCTCTCTGTATATCTGCCTTTCCAATAAAAATAAAATAAATCTTTTAGAAAAAAATCTTAAAAAAAAGCTGCTCACCTGAGAGTGTTTGTTATAGAGTAAAAAACAAAACAAAACAAAACAAAAAAACCCGAAAAAACAGGAGAGACAGAGAGGTCTTTCATTGTTTCACTTCCCAGATGACTACAGTGGCTGGGGTGGAGCAGACCAAAGTCAGGAACCTAGAGCTTCTTCTTGGTTTCCCAAGTTGTGGCAGGGACCCAAGTGCCTGGGCCATCTTCTGCTGCTTTCCCCAGGTAATTGCCAGGGAGCTGGATTGGAGGTGGAGCAGCTGGGACACAATCCAACACCTGAATGGCTCCCAGATACTCCATAGTGCTGACCCCAGATTGTGGTCTTTACTATAAGAGCTATGCAAACATTCCATATGCTTATGAGATATATATACTGGAGAGGAGGAAAGGAAATGAGGGTGACCATTCTTGTCCCCACGCTGTTACCAGACTATGTCACTCTTGTCTCTCTGGCTAGCAGTCTTGTAAACCTGTTTTTCCTCCCCCAACCCTCCAGTGCTCTGTCCTTGGCATCACCTTGAAGGCCTTAACTTTGTCTTATTCCCTTCTCTACTGTTTTCCCCAGAAGCTCTCCCATGTTCTGCCAGCTGTGCCCCTGGGACCCTCAGGTCTTTAGGCCTTGCAAGGTGTACCTGCCCAGGCCCATGGTCAGGTGGCCTGCTATGGGTTGTGCAAAGGGAGTGGTATCTCTGATACCTGAGTAGTTCCATCCTGTGGACCCATCCTGCAGAAGAGCAGCTCTGAGGCTGGGGAGCACAGAGGGCTTCTGCCTGGAGCCTGGATGTAGGTTTGAGCTGACACGGAGTCCAACAAAGTTAAAGATACACTGCAGATGGGGTGGCAGCTTTTATTGTAGAGACTGAGTTCACTGAGTGAGGGTACATGCTGTGGTTGGGGGGTGAGGGGAGGTGATGAACTGGAAAAATACTCGTCTCTGCCATGAGTAGGTTGGGAGTGAGGGTCCCAGGGGTGAAGGGCAGGATGGGGAGGGGGCAGGGAGGCTCGGAGGGGCGTGGACTTAGGAAGGGATGGAGCCTGTGCTTCCTGGAGCAGCCGTCCTGAGCCAGCCTCCTCACTTGCGAGCACCCAGTGCCAGAGCAGTGATCAGGCCCACAACCAGCAAGAACATGGCGACAGAGAGCAACACAGTGATGACCACCATGCCCCCTGTGCGGGCCATGCCCAACCCGATGGACTCTAGGTTTCTTCCTGTTGGGAGAGAGAGAGAGAAAGGGAGAGAAGGGAAGCCCCTTTGGAAGTAGCAGGGGCGCCTACCCTGCCAAGAACCTGGCCCTCATCCATTTCTCTGTCCATCATCTATCCATCCATCCATCCATCCATCCATCCATCTATCCAAACAACTGACCAAGTGATGGATGCAGCTCCCAATCACCTCCAATCACCCAGGATGCAGCCTCTGCCTGTAAGGAGCCTTTAGCTCAGAGCTGTAGCAGGTGAGTAGCTGGGCAGTCAGCATGCTAGGAGCTCAGTGCTGGAATGGAGGCATGAAGGTGCTGAGGGAGTTCAGTGGGGTGTAGTGGAGCCAACCTGGGGTGTGAGATGGGAGGGACTAGAAGCTGAGGTGAAAGCAGGAAGTGGGAGTGAGACTTACGAGGAAGTGTGGACATCAGGACCTCTCTGCTGGATTCAGTAGATGTCCCCTTCCTTACCAGGTAGGAGATGCTTTTGGGGGTGTTGGGAGAGAGAAGAAAAACTTGGGTGAACCTGGTGGAAGAGGGATTCATGACTGGGCTCTACTAAGTGAGGCCCACTATTCATCCTTCTGGCCCTCTAGCCCCTGTGCAGACCAGACCCTTAGCCATCAGCTTCTTTCTGTGTTTCCTGTCCCATAAGGGGCCCAAGTTGAGTGGGTACCTACTAGTATTGGCTTCCTGGCGAGAGATTTGTCACCTGGTATGCGCTGAGCCGAGTGACTGTGAAGCCATCCCCACTGTCCACCACGCTTACCAGCTCCCTGCGCCCACGGCATGGAGGCACCACAAAGCTGGACTTCACCACTGGATGGGAAGTTGGGGATTGGAGATGAGGCCATGTTTCCAGAGGCCCCAGAAAGGAGTGGTATTAGAAGGTGGATGCCCTGGGAATGGGGTTGATAGGGTGGCATGGACAGGGGAAAGAGGTGTGGGGGATGCACCTGCTCCTCTGGGGAGCAGAGGATATCCCGGGGAGGGGCAGACCTGTGCTGTCGTTAGCTCTCCGTACTGTGAGTGTGGCGTTTCCTCCTGTGAGGTGACAGGGAGGCAAAGCAACGAGTAGACTCTCTGTTAGCGCCGGAGACAGCAGACCCGAGAGGCCTGAGATGTTGAAGTCTGCTGGAAGGACAAGGAGGGTGCTCAGATGGCAGTTAACCCAATACCAGCCTTCAGATCCTGCCTTGAACTCCTGGGCCCTCTTATAAATTCAGAGTCCAGCTCCCCTCTCCACGCTGCCAACTGCGGGCACAACAGCTGGATCTGAATGCGTCTGCCCACCAGGTGGCAGGCTTGGGCTGCAGAAGCTGGATACTCCAGCAAGCTGATCTGAGCCAGACCCTGAAGCCAGGCATGGGTAGCACCACTACCAAGGCTTTGGACCATTTGCCACATCACTCTGCCTCTGGGTCTGGAAGAGAAACAGGAACGTGTTCTGGGCCTGACATCTGATGCCTGGTCACTGCTGTCACCAACCCCTGCAACCAAGACCAGACAAATACCTCCTCGAGAGCCTCCCACCACTTGATGCCACCCTCAAGGCCTTCCCCACCTCCACCAGAGATAGCAGAGACCTGCAGCTCCAGGGGTCAGGACAGACAGCAGGACCAGGATCAAAGACAAAGTCCAGGTGGGCTGCAGGGATGCCATGCTGGGATGGGAGCTGGACCGGTGCTGGCAGGCAAGTGAGGCCCTGCCCCTGGGATGGCTGGTTATGTCCCAGGGTAGGTGGAGCTTAAGGGGAATCCAGTCCAACCTGCCCCGTTGGTCCCTAGACAAGTTTTTCAGGATGGGTAGCTGACCCTTCATCCACAAGGCAGTGGGCAAGAGACGTCCTGGCTGCTTGACCTGGCAGCACAGTATGCATCTGGGGTCTGGCCTATAGGGGACTGTGCTCTGTATGGGGGGCCTTGCCTAGGAGCAGTGTGTTCTGAAATTGCCCTATTGTGTGAGAAGTGAGAAACTTGGCTGGGCTCCTGAAGGGGCCTTGGCTAGAGAAAAAAAAAAAAAGGAAAACAGACATGGAACAAAATGAGGATTCTTTCTTTTATTATTATTATTATTATTATGGCAAATCAGATTTATAGACAGAAATATCATCCATCTGCTGGTTTACTGCCCAGATGATCACAATGGTTGGAGCTGAGGTGATCCAAAACCAGGATCCAGGAGTTTCTTCTGGGTCTCCCATGCAAATGCAGGATCCCAAGGCTTTGGCCCATCTTCTACTGCTTTTCCAAGCTATTGGCAGGGAGCTGGAAGGAAAGTGGAACAGCCAGGACACAAACTGACACCCATATTGGATCCCTGTGCTTTCAAGGTAAGGATTTAGCCATTAAACTATAACTATGGATCCTAGTTCCTGAGGTTGATGGAGGCCCAGGCACCATGACTCTAGGAGAGTTTGGGGGCTGGTGCCAGGGAGTGGGCAGGCCTTCAAGATTGCTCTGGAATGAGCACCAGGAAAGCCTAAGAACCAGCAGGAAACACCAGGCAGGTGGACACTGATCCTGCCCAAGGAGGATAGGGGCCCCAATGAACCTTGAGCAGTAAGCATTTGCTGAGCAGCTCAACACCAGATGGCATTGCCCCTTGCCTTGTAGATGTGGAAACTGAGACACAAACAGGTAGAGTTACCTGTGGGAAATGCAATGCTGTTAGGATAAGGTGTTGTCCACTTCCCTCCGGGGCCAAGAGGATGGCTCTCCTGGTGTATCTCTGCTCCGTGAACCCTTGTCTTTCCTGCGGTCAGAGAAGGAAAGTGAGGGGCCACAGGGGGCTGGCCTTACCTTCATGGTGGGTAGGTTTGGCTCAAAGCCACAGGTGCAGGCGGAGTGTGACAGGTGAGAGCAGATGCTTGAGCATCTTCAGGTTACATTTTTCCAAATGTAATGTGCTTCCGAGGCACCAGGGATTTTTTTTGTTTGTTTGTATTAAAAGATTTATTTATATTGGAAAGACAAATTTATAGAGAGGAGGAGAGATGGGGAAAGATCTTCCATCTGCTGGCTCACTCCCCCAAGTAGCTGCACTAGCCAGAGCTGAACCAATCTGAAGCCAGGAACTGGGAGCTTCTTCCAGGTCTCCCACATGGGTGCAGGGTCCAAGGCTTTGGGCTGTCCTCTTCTGCTTTCCCAAGCCACAAGCAGGGAGCTGGATGGAAAGTGAAGCAGCTGGGACACGTATTGGCAACCATATGGGATGCTGGCGCTTGAGGGGGAGGATTTAGCTAATTGAGCCACTGCACTGTGCCCCTGGGATGTTAGGTGCAGGATCTGATTGAGGGGCCAGGGTTTGAGGTGAAGGCTCAAACTGCATTTCTGATGAGTTTCCTTTATGGTAACATGATGGGGGGAGGTGATCTGACGGGCCCACAGCTGGGGTTCCAGGGGCTCTCAGGTAGCCATTCCCCTACTGCTCCCCCTCTTTGAGGGCCTCTGGGGACAGTGTTTTTCCTCCAGGCTACCAGGATGTGTGAGGTTCTAAGTCCAGAATTGAATTCACTGCTTTCTGTGCTTTGACTTTTGTCCCTATTAAGATCAGCTCCTACCAACACTCTACAAACAGAAAGAAGACCTTTTGCACATTCAGAAGAACTTGGGGGACCTGATTGTAGCACTTCAGGTTAGGCCTCAACCCTTGTCCCCTGTGAGTGCAAGTTGGGTTCCATGTGCTCCATCCCTTTCTTATCCAGCTCCCTACTAGAAAAGCAGCAGAAAATGGCCTAAGTACTTGGATCCCTGCATCCACATGGGAGACCCAGATAGAGTTACTGGCTCCTGGCTTTTGCCTGGTCCAGCACTGGCCACTGTGGCCAAGTGGGAAGTGAACCAGTGGGTGATCTCTCTCTCTCTCTCTTTTTCCCTCTCTGTGTCTCTGCCTTTCAGATAAATACATGTTAAAAAAAAATGGGAGAAAAGGAACAGATTTAAGGGTGGTGCTCCTCCAAACCCATCACCCAGCCGACAGCCTGTTTGCATGTGGACTTGGGAGGCCATCTCTTGCCATTTCAGTCACAGCAGGAGGCAAAGAGAAGAGGTTGCATTTATTGCAGGGTGGGTTGCTTTGGGTATACTCTACTCTTAAGCCTCCAGTCTCAATTGGAATTCTGACTAGAACAGAGTGGAGTGAATGAGAGCCGATCTCAGACCAGATTTGAAAGGGATATGAGGGCCCTGTGCCTTTAAGCCCTCCCTTCTCCCTCCAGTTCCCCACCACCACCACCATTTCCCCACCCCAACCCTCCCCAGGTTTCTAGAGGAGCGGAGAGTTGCGTCTTCTCCCTGCCCTGCCGAGCTGCTCACTGGCTGCTCTGGAGGCTGTGCTTTGCGGTCTCCATGGAAACCATTAGTTGCTAAGCAACTGGAGCATCATCTGTGCTGAGCTCTCGCATCTAATTATCCCATCACAGCGGCTGAGAAGGGTTTGAGGGGCTGAGAGGAGGGGGAGGCCAAGTACAGGAGCAAGAGGATAACTCTTTTAGCAGAGCAGATTCATTGACAATGCTGAAGTCATTTAAAGCCACAGTATCCTGTTCCTCTGGAAGATTTCTCTGTGGCTTTGGCCATGAGGGAACTGTGGGTCTTTCGAGATTGTCTCCCCTTTGAGTTTTGGTTCTGAGCTCTCAAGTTCCTTCCCTGGCCTTACTCCTTTCCAGTCTCACGTTCAAGTCCACAGTCACTGAGGCAGAACCAAGTATATCTCTGGATGGTTGTGGGTACCAAGGCTACAGGGTCAGGGAAGTTTCTTCCGCCCAGGGCTGCCCCATCTCTGTGTGGCCCAGGTGCCTCCTTGTGTGGATCTCTGCTTTCTGGACTCTGGGGTTCTGTTCTTATTCTGGTATTTCTGTAGTAGAAGAGCTGGGCTCAGAGCCCACAACTGTGACGTTCCCTGGATTCTCTTTCTGCTCTGCCACTCTCCTCCCTTCCAGTCAGTTAGAAACACATGTTGGTCTGCCTGCACAGGCTGGGTAGCTTCTGGTGGCAACACTCTCGTCCTGCTAATGAGTGGTGTCATGTAATTTCAGGTGCATCTCTCTCTCTCTCTCTCTCTCTCTCTCTCTCTCTCTAGTGTGTTTGATTTGGGAGGGAGAGAGACAGAGATACAGAGATCTAGCTATTGCTTTGCTCAGGACTGGTCCAGGCTAAAGCAAGGAGTCAGCAACCCCATTCAGGTCTCCTGCATGGATGGCAGGGGCCCAGTTACTCTGACCATCATCTACTGCTCTCCCAGGTGTATTGGCAGGACTCTGTGGACTGGAGTAGCTGGGACTCCAATGGACAGTTGAATATGAGATGCTAGGGTCACAAGAGACAGGAGGTGGCTTAGCCCTTTACACTATCAGGCTGGCCCCGAAGTGGGTTGCTTTGAATTTCACTTCTTACACCTTTAAAATGGGAAAACTTATTCCTTCTCCACTCAGAAGATCCAGCAAGATATGAGAATTGTAAAAATGCTTTAAAGTAAGGTCTGGTTCCATGGCGTAGTGGGCTAAATCTTCACCTGTGGTGTCAGCATCCCATATAAGCACTGATATGAGGCCTGGCTGCTGCATTTCTGATCCAGCTCCCTGCTTATGGGCTGAGAGGGAAGCAGTAGCTGTTTCAAGTTCTTGGAGTGAAGGACTCCCAGCAGATGGAAGACCTCTCTCTGGGTCTTTCCTTCTTTCTGTGTCTTTCCTTCTCTCTGTAAATCTGCTTTTCTAATTACTATGAATCATGGCAATGGCCAGAAACAATTTCAGTTCTCACCTTGCTGAGATTTGAAGAACAAATGGCAGTGAGCCTAGCTGATGTAAATGGAAGGGCATCTTCTTAACAAAAGGGAGCTGCCAAGGGAAGGTTCGGTGGTGGGAATTAGTTTGACAACAATACCTCTGGGCTGGGGAACAGGATTCATAGACGGGGCTGGTGTGAGCCATGGCATGGCTGGTGGCCAGGACTTTGTGTCCCACACCATGGGACTTGGTGCACATGCTGGAGAACACATAGGGTCTTTGAGAAGTGTAACGTGTTAAGAGCATTCTGGGTTGAGCAGAATGATCAGAATGACAACTGGGAGGACATGAGGCAGAGTGACTAGGTGAGAAACTAAATGATCCAAGTGAAAAATAAATGAATAAATGTGCCAGGCAGTGGGCACAGGCCAAGCCAGGAACCCCCAGTTGGCAGTTCAGGTCATTCTAGGGAGGCTGCTGGAAGTCAGTGATTGCAGAACAAGTTTAAGGAAGGAAGAATCAAGAATGGTTTCCAGATTTGTCTTTCAGAGTAGATGTGGTAGAAGGGGTAAGACGAGTCATGGCTCTGCCGAGTCCTATGATGCCTGCTCCAGGGTCACCCTGGTGGGGTGGAGTCTGCTTCTGTCCACGTGTGCCCTTATGTGTCATCCTGCCCCTTCCACCCAGTGTGTGTGCATGGCCCACGGTGGATGTGATGGCATGTCACAGGTGAGGATGACTTGTGAAGTGCAAAGCACCTTCCTCCTGGCTATCCCTCGGGTTGTTCGCTGTGGACGCAAAGGGACTGATGCCTTCTGCCAGTAAGCAGCAGGTCACCTACACTTCCTGGACAAAGAGTATGGGAATGAACATGCATAGAGGCAGATGGGCCAGCTCTGGTCAGACCTCTGGGGATGGCCACTATGCTGTCAACCTCGCTGAAGCTTCAAGAGACACCAGGTTTGGC